TGGACAAGCCATCCACAGGCTGCTGTAGCCAGCATTGAGTTTGTCGCTAATCAACTCAAACCGTTTAGACTGGCCATTAGCGTTGATAATTTATCTTATCAAGGTCTGGGGATTTATCCATCACCTTTGCTGTGGGATGCCCCACATCTGCAGTTGATCAGTCAAGTGCATCTTCCTCCAGCCATCCTTGAGTTCCTTTGTTTCCATCCTGAACGTTGTGTAATTGTGATTTGTAGAGGCTTGTTGAAAACTTGAACTAACCCGTTCGTTCCAACTGCGCATGCGTGTCGTGTGGGAGATTGACATTGGTGATGATCTTTTTGCTTTTCTTTTCTCTTTTTTTTTTTCACTTTCCATTTTTTGTGATTTACATACCATATTTGACGAGCTTTGCATGCAGGAATTTCTCTGAGGCAAACCCAGAGCAACAGAGCACGCGTGTATGACTGCACTAAGAGTGTGGCTCTCAGAGGCATTCCCCTACTCCTCAGCCCCTCCACACTACCTTAGCGCTCATCCAGTCAAGGTCCACTGCACAGACATGACATTCCTACTCTTTGACAGGTCACTTTTCTACCTCCGGCCAGATCAAATTTAGCAGCAATTAGTATCGTTTGTGTGACAGTCCCAGCGACCGTCTCCCCTCCATTCTTCCTTGCCCCAGTTCTCTCGAGAGGGGTTCTGAGAATGACAGTTTCTGCAGACTGAAGAATATGGCCATATTCACCTACACCGCTAGTCTATTACGCCAGTCTATCGCGGTATAATGAGACATACTAAGACCGTGACACTTGATAGATCATTCAGGCGTGGTCAAGACCAATGAGGGATAACTCTCCGGATAGTCTGTTGTGCTAATCATTGCTGTGTTTGGCACGGAGAATCCATGCTCTGCTGAGTAGTGTCTCTACAAGACGTCTACGAGTAATGTGCTTGTTCCTGGTACGCTAGCCTATAGATTCAACTGGACAGACGGCAAAGCACTCGAATTCGAAAACGGAGTCAGTAATGAGGTGGTCAAAAGTGAAGGATAATTGCACTCAAATGCAAGTAGCTGCAGATAATCTTCAATGATGCTGGAGTGGTCTAATCAGGTCATATGCATCAGAGCTGATTGCACTTGCATGGCATAAGCATGAGCATTCCGGCTGATTTATCCAAAGTGTTCTGATTGCAGCCAAACAACCTGCATATTCGCTTTTTTCTTGCATGGGTGGGAGTTTCAAGATGTTTCTCTTCTTGTCTATCTAGATAAAGCATCGAACAAGGTAGAACCCTGCATGAAGCTTGTGTGACAGGTTGATTAGACAAGGGTCGAGTGCCGACTCCCCATATGTAGCATGTGCAATTGCGGGTCGAATAAATCTGAATTTGGGGGTTTTGAATTGAGCTCTCTCGTTACGATGACTAAACGCCCCCAGTCCCAGTCCTAGTCCTAGTCCCGACTCCAAGGGCGATGCATATGCATATGGATACATCGTCATCGCTACCACTCAAGCCCCAAGTCTATTGATCCTTGTTCTAGCCCGATCGGCACTTTGAGGAATGGCTACTCATGAGAGAACCTTGGTGATCCGGACTAACAGGACAGCACCGGCTTCTGCCCCAGAGCAGTCATGGAGATGGATCAGTCGATAGCCTTGCTGCAGGCGGCTGAGTTTGAGACATGCCCAGGCGGCCAGGGAGTCTCGGCCGAGCTCGTCGTCTTTCACTTTGAATCTGTAGTTGTGTTAGTCTTCTGCATGATTGTGGAGGTGTGTGGTACTGCTTGTTAGAGGGGAGATTGTGTACCTGACAAAGGTCAATTCCTCAATGACACCCGACAACGTGGGGAATTGGATCATCTGCGCGCCGAAGTCCGGGTTCGTGCCTGTGGTGCTCTTGATGCTGCGCTTGTAGCTCGTCTTCTCTGAGTCGCTGGTGTTGTCGCCTCCTGGCGGGGAGCCGTTCTCCTCGTCAGGCGATTCTACATGCAGGGAGCAGCTCACGTAGGGGCGGAAACCGGACTCCTTGGTATCCCCCGGGGGCAAGGGGAGGTTCTGCGCTGCGAGGATCTCGATGGAGAGGTCGAGCTGTTGGCGCTTCACAGGGGTGGAGGGGGGATCCGAGCTGCGGTAGCCCTGGGGCTTGAGGACCCAGCCAGGCTCGCCGGTGAACATGCCCCGGTTGAGCATCATGCCCTTGTCGAGGTTTTGCCAGTTCAGGGCGACGATCTGGGCGCCGCAGCGCCAGAAGAAGGTCGGGTCTGGGTTGGACGAGTTGATTCGCAGTCCGTAGGGGTAGACTCGCATGAAGAAGTGGCGGTTGTGCTCGAGGAGGGCGTCGCGGTGTTTGGCGTAGGCCTCCCGCGCGGCGTTTTCGGATAGCGAGAACACGTGTCCTGGTACTTTGGCCTCTGAATACCGTCAGGTCAGCATTACTAGTACTATCTACCTACACTGACCCAGTAGCATCGAACGTTGCATGCTCGACTCTATTGGTGCAATGGCTTACCTGGCTGGGCGAACTGGTGGAAGGAGAACCCTTTGGTAAAAACCGCTAGCCTGCTCAGGGAATGCAGCACTTTGGACGGTTTCTTGGGTGGTGCATGTTCGCCGTCCTGATTGAGAGATGGAGGTGTATCGGGCTTGTCGGTCCGGTCGTCCTCCTGCGCTTCGCCTTGGCCATCTCCTGTCGCTGGGACCCATTTGACCTTGATCAGAATCTTGCGTTTCAAGGTCTCCAGGGGAGGCGGAGCCTGAGTGGCTTCGAGTTCTGGGGTGACTTCAATCAACATTCCTTTCCACGCCTCCTCCATGATTTCCACCATCGTCGCCTGCTGCTCGATGCATGCGTGCACCTCCAGACTGACGATAACTGGCAGATCACTTGCCACAAAGGCGCTGTCGCGAATCGCATAGCAAACATCGCGGAATGTGGTTCCTTTGGTCAGCGTGTGACCATGGAGCACCTGGGGCTCCGGACGGCGTAGGATCTGCGCCACAGAGTCTACAGCAGCAGCAGTCGATGCAGGTTTATCAGTGGCTCCGTCATCAGGCGACGATTTGCGTCCCAGCAGGCTTCCCAATTTGGACGAGATGCTTTTGTGCCGCGATATTGGCTTGGTTGACTTTGCGCTACCATCCACCTTTGGTACGTCTTGCTTCTTACGGTGACTAGTCGTTTCTTCATCAGAGCTCGACTCGCTACTACTGCTGCTGCTGCTGCTTGTGTCGTCACCAGAGACGCTGTCCGCATCTCCGTCCCACACATCGATTTCAACACATCTACAACCACTCAGAAGTACCTAGTCAAATGTCAATGAAGGTGACAACCATTATTCAGGCGGACGCAAATGAAGAGGGGTATTCAACAATGCATTACATCAGCCCGCATGAAGGAAGCCTGTAAGCACTGATGCGAAAGGTCGATAATTCAGCAAGAAATGGACCAGGTGAGACATACGTTGGTATATGCGGTCGCTGCAGCATCGCTGTACAGCTGATTCCCAGTCAAATAGGTGTTGTGACTGGATGAGATGTAATAATCTGTTATCGGTGCCGACAAGTCCTGTCCTTTGGATGGACGCAATGCATCAGAAGCCGGGCTGGCCATATATGCACGGAATGCTGCCAAAGACGCGAGGGGATTCGCGGCCTCGAGATCAGCGGCAATCTCTTCGTGTTGTACATCCTTGATAAAATCAGCGGTCGAGGTGGCAGTCAAGGATGCATAGATCTTGTCCAGGTGGGAGGACAAAGGGCCGGGCTGCACTTGGATTGGTCCTGACCGAGCGGGTTTTGCTGGGTCGAGAGAGATGCTACCAGCACGACCAGTAAGCTCCTCCATCGTCTCCATCCTCATGTATGTACTATGGACTTCACAAGCAGCTCTGTCATATCAAGCCAAGTTGTGGATTCGACCCGTCGCTGACCTTGCGTCGCCGGGTGATCAATGCGCGCTGGATGGAGTGTGATACAGCAGCTGAAAGGACAGTCGCAGAGAGGTCGAGTCGGCTACAGCGATCAGGACGCATGGGATGGCAGAGATCACCATAAAGGAATAGAAGTTTAAATCACACCGCCGAAAGAGAGAAACGGGAAGATGGTGCTGAGTTGGCTCGTTTCAACGCTGTGTGTTTGCTCCACTCGGCGTGGACTTGGCTCGTCTGTGCTGAGCCACCGTGAAGAGTGACTGGACCGAGTCGTTCCATTATGGTGATGATAAACTTTTGGGCCCTGAAATAGTCATAGGAAAGACACAGAGTGTATGAATGGTTGCAGATACCCACCTGGAATGTGTTGAGTTGATGTTTATCGACGCGCGGGGTAATACTTCAGAGACCGATAAGGGACGGCCATCACAACGACATTTTCTTTCACCTGAGAGTCCAGAGAGGTACTACTTGAATTGATTGAATCTTCTACGACTATAACATGTTGAACTGTTCGTCCTTCATACCATGCCTTTGCTAGATCCAATCTCCCTCGTAAGTCTTAACTAATGACTGTCATATGGTCATCCGTATAGTCGAAGTGGGGAGCAGCGGTGAGCGCAGAGAGTTCAGAGCTTCAATTTCCCTCACAAGAGCCTGTGGAGATTGATCAGAGGTACTACAGAGGATACACACTCTCTATGATAGTGTTGACAGCTGAATTAATCTGTACAACTACGCCTTTCAAGATGGCATGAGGTATCAGGGCCTGTGACTCAGAGCCGTAAGCTGATCTCGCTGCACGACGAGGAGTACAGTACACTAAGGTACAGTGGTAGTCTCAGAAGCCTCAAATCCACCCACGGTAGAGCAAGTCATCCACATGGTAAGCAGAACATTAGGCACTGGAAACTACCATGGACCACGGATAGGTACCTTAGGAGACTCTCCGCACGACCTGCTGATAAATCACTACCCGCCCCGCTCCGGCTATAAGACTCAAGACCCATAAGCAACAATGAAGTCTCCAGGAGCCCTGAAACTACTACAAAACATCTCAAGCACACAAGTACGGCCTTATATAGCAATGGCAAGCGATTCACCAGTCCATTTCTTCGACATCACGTCGACCCTGCCCGGTATGAACAGTCCAAACCCCTCCTGTCCTGTACTAATCCAGTTCACCAGGTTCCTCGAAATCATGGTCCCCGAACACCATCAAGACCCGCATGGTCCTGAACTACAAGCGCATCCCCTACACCCAAAGCTGGGTGTCCTACCCTGACATCGCACCTCTCCTGACCTCCCTCGCCGTACCCGCCAACCCAGATGGAATCGCCTACACCCTCCCCACAATCAACCACAAGCCGACCGTCAAGTCCAACCCCACCGGCACCCTCACGGAGTCCTTCGCCATAGCCTGCCACCTAGACCAGCACTACCCCACCCCGTCGCTCTTCCCCTCCGGCGACGCAAGCTACGCCCTCACCATCGCAGTCGGCAAGCTCCTAAGCGCCGCGGTCGGCAAGGCCCGTCCGCTCATCGTCCCCAACGTCGCCGATATCCTTGATGATAGGGGGAGAGAGTACTTCATCAAGACGCGGTCTGCATGGTTTGGCAAGCCGCTATCCGAGGTGCGGCCTCGGGACCCGCAGCAGGTGAAGGAGGCGACGGACGAGCTCAAGAAGGAGCTGGAGGTGCTGGCGCAGATGCTCCGGGGCAAGGTGGGGAAGACCGGGCCCTTCTTTGAAGGGGATAAGCCTGGGTATGCGGATTTCATCGTAGTTTCGTTCCTGGCGTGGGCTGAGAGGTCCGATAAGGAACTTTGGCGGGAGCTGCTGGGTGCCGGTCAGGGGGAGTTCAAGGCCTTGTGGGAGGCTTGTATTCCGTGGGTTGAGGGACAGGGTGAGGAGAAGGACTGGCCGATTGCTGAGTGAGATGTCTAGCTGGAACTGTATATAGGAGGGCAGGATCGGCATTGATATACCCATGAGCGTAGAATCAAATCTAGCGCAAGCTTGCAGCAGAAACAAAATGGTCCCATTCAGCGCCCTATCGCCTATCAGGGGATGGAAACAGTGAGATAAAAATACACTTAGCACGTTGCCAGACACTCTATACCATCCGCAGCAACGCAATCGTACACAGCCTCTAAATCACCACGGCATAACTGCCCTGGGCAACCCAGCATGAAACCACTCACAGACCCCGCAGGAAGTTAGCCTCTCTGATCGCCTTCCTCCGAGCATCTCTCGCGCTCTTCGTGATCTCCGTCCGCTTCTCAATGCTCTCAGCCGCCAACGCGAAAAGGTCTTCTGCCCCCTCGCGGTTATACTCTGCAGGCGTGATATCATTAGCGTGATGGTGAACCGGGATCTGAGGCGGAAGCGTCGCCGCCCGAGCAGCCATTTTCTTCTCGTAGCGTTTACGCTGTTTCTTATTCAGAGCTGGGACAGTATTAGCAAGACTTCATCAAACCATCCACAACGGAAGCAATAGGAAAAAGAAAAAACGTACTGCTAGGATCCACCCCTCCCTCCTTCTTCGTTTTCGAACCATCCTCCAACAAAGTCCACAACCATTCGGGATACTCCGAATCATCCAACGCAAACACATCCGGCTTGTTCTTGAAGTAATTGAGCCCGTTCAGCTTCGTGCCCGCAGGCGCAATGCTAGGCGTCCGCTCGGCGGCAGCCTTCACGGGCTTCTCGGGGTTGACGTCCACGTGGACGCCTTCGGGGGTACTCAGCGGCTGCGACACGCCGGGTGTAGCGGACGAGATGGCCGAGGGGATGGTGATGTCGCCGCCGACGGGCTGGCGAGGAGCGGGCGGAGGAGGTGTCGCGAATACTGTGGGTTGGCCGTCACTGTAGGCCCGGAATTGGCTGCGGTGGATGGGAAGCTGGCGTGCGCATGATGAAGCTGTCCATGAGACTGTGGGTTGCGGTTGGAGCTGGGAGAGGATGCTGGTCCGGCACCGGCGGCAGATCATCTTGCTTGTCGTTTAGTACCGTGGAGGGGATTGAATAAATATATCCCTAGTCACGGGCTCACGGCCTAGTAAGATGCCGTGGATTTAAATATTGCGTATTGAGGTGGATTTGATATGAAGCCGATATCTGAAAACTGCGGAATGAATTTGATGCCAAGCCGGAGGTGATGATCACGTGATGTGGAGCAAACTGAACTGCATTCGTGCCTCAGGTGTATACTCATCTAATAAACTAATAAGCAACTTCAACTTCTGAAATATATGGCACATGAGCACTGTATGGGAATCAGATATTTTTGTGCCAGCTGAGTTGAAGAAACCCCGATATAGGGTGGATATGACTATCTTCTGCAGGGTGGGACTAATATGGCATATTAAGCAGCCTTATTCCTCTAGAGCATATCCTTCTAACAGCAGCAATGAGGCAAAAGTCTTCTTAAAGGCTCTCCATGCCTGAACTGCTTGTTTAGGTCTCTCAATGATTCGATTTGAAGTGGTGGTGTGTGTTCTTTACAGCATCAACATTATAAAAAATTACTGTATTCTTATCACTCTCATGACTTCTACATTCCTATGCTGATCAATATAAATCCAAAACGAAGAGTTCATATTCTAAGCCGGCGTATGCTACCGCATATTGATCATCTACAATGGAACAAGCATGAGGTGCCGTCCCAGGTGATGCGTCTACCTCCTATTCGCCGTCCATGTCCTTCCGGATGGGACGCAAGCAATTACGGATATGCGCCTGTCTTCCGAACCCTTCTTTACCTCCTGATCAAGCAAACCAGAGCAGAGAATAGCATTTTGATCCTCTTGGCGTCGAGGGCATGTTCTATGCTTATGGTCATTTCTTGGAGGCGTTGGATACTGCTACATAGAGATGAACTCTGGATGATTGAGGGCTGACTTTCGTATCCTCAGCTTATTTTCAGCCTAGCGAGCTACATATATAAAAGCATATTGAGGCCACATCATACATGGTAACTATAACTATAGCTCATGAACCCCCCTGTGACCTTACCAGAGTCACAGTCTATCAATACATGTGCTGTGAACTAATCTCTTTGAATACTCCGTGGTCTGTATAGTTATATTAAGCTTGAATCCTTCCACCTAACATACAGGTGGCGCCGCTTGGCTGCTTACCCAGGGATACTTTAGCCGCAAAGATGCCTTGGCAAATTGCCAGTTATATGCATCTCGTTTTGATGATAAGAAGAGAAGCTTCTCTGCATAAACATGTTTACCTCGGACTACCTCGTCCGTTGGATCGTCGTCCAACCTTCTTCCACTGCTGCGCCAGGTCATCCTCGTGCTTCTAGAATACCACTCGTACAGCATATACTGTTGGAATACTGCGCGGAATAGATGTACGGGCTACATGCCTGACAACTATTGAGCATACGTCACGTTCTCTCGCAATATCGGCAATAAGGAAGGTTGCGTTGTGGCCCTGCCGGTTTGCCATGATGTTCATCTCAAAATTAGAGCGTAGGACAGCAAGGATTTAAGGTACAGAAAGTGACGGAGGCCAAATTATGTAGATGGAAGAGGGTTCTACTATCTAGACAGAAATAGAGGTTGGTCTGTTACGAATATGATAAAAATAACTGAGAGCGACTCACGAATAGAGAATGCACTTACACATGTACTCAGCATATGAAAGAATATACAGGCCCGTTCATCACCTAAGACTCTAGTTCAAGGTCTATTAAAAATGACAGAAGGGTATATATGAGGTTTGGCTCAAGCTTATATAGTCTAAGTTGTTAGGTAGTTAGGGTTTACCGCTGAGATAAGCATTGCACATGGGCGGTACAGGCAACTGCTAAGTATTATGAAATAAAGGACACGGTCCCTGGATTATACTCATCGCAAGCATTCATGTTGTATAGAACGTGAAGAAGTCAGCTTCATGGTCTTCGTCTAACCAACCAATCAGATCAGGCGCATGGACATGGCGCTGGGACCAGGTGAGGGGATACTAGAGGAGCTACGGATAGACTAGAGAGCTACAGAGTCCACCTGACAAAACAACAATCTCAATACTCCAAAATACTCTTCTCATTGACACATGGACTAACAAAAGGCCAAGCTGTGGTAACTTGCGTATATTACGTTCGTGTCCAACCAGGCCGCTCAATATTATGACCTGAAGAATGCCTCTCTAATGATGCAAACCAAGCAAGAAACAAGATGAGCAGATTTTCAAGACCCCCAATGCTCGAAATGAAGAACAACACAGAAATGATTAAGGATATAGAAAGCCCACCAACGCCATACCAAGAGGGAAAAATGTGACATGCAGCGACATAACTAAGTAGACAACCCGCTGACTTCCAGGAAATTGCACAAGCTCACACAAGCATCCTTGAGTGACTTTTCCGTCTTCCAGTTGAGCTCCTGCTGCGACCTTGTGGCCACGGCGACACAGGAGCCCACATCCCCCGCGCGGCGATCAGCCGCCGTTCGGGGGATGTGCTTGGAGGAGACATCCTCCATGGTCTCGACCACTTCCTTGACCGAGTGTCCGCGACCGGTTCCCAGGTTGAATGTGCGGAAGTTCTCGGCCAGTTTGCCTTCATTGGCAGCGCTGAGGGCCGCAATGTGACCACGAGCAAGGTCGGTGACGTGGATGAAGTCCCGGACCGCGGTACCGTCCTCGGTGTCCCAGTCAGTGCCGAACATCTGCAACTCCTTGTAGTCGCCTGTCATGACTTTGACGACGACAGGGAGTAGATTCGTGGGAGTCTGTCTGGGGTCTTCGCCAAGGAGGCCGGACTCGTCACATCCGATGGGGTTGAAGTACCGCAGAGCTACGATCGTCCATTCTGGGTCGGAGGCGGCGAGGTCCGCCAGGATGGCCTCGCAGATCCATTTGGTACGGCCGTAAGGGTTGGTGATGCCTGTGCAGCCGGGCTGAACAGTTCGTTCAGCACCTTCGTGGTCCACATAGATCTCCTCCTTGTGAGTGCAGAGCTCCTCCTTCAGGGGGAGACCGGAGGTTGCCAAGGTGCCGTACACGGTAGCCGACGAGGAGAAGATAAAGGTCTTGATGCCATAGTCACCCAGGGTCGTGGCAAAGTCGATGAGGCCGCTGACGTTGTTGGCATAGTACTTGAGTGGGTTACGGATGCTCTCTTCCACTGCCTTGTAGGCAGCAAAGTGGATGACACCGGAGATCTTGGACTTGGTTGTTCCCCATCGGGTCTGAGTCTGGTGCTGTTCTAGAAGGTCCCGGAGAGCGGCAGTGTCACGATAGTCGTGCGCATGCAGGTGCAGCGACGGCATCTTGGTTCCCTGCTGCTCATGGTACTTGGACGCTAACAGCTTGATGCGCTCGAAGACGTTCTGAAAGGAGTTGCTGAGGTTGTCGATCACAATCACATTATAATTGGCCTTAAGAAGTTCCAATGTTGTGTGACTGCCAATGAAGCCGAGGCCGCCAGTGACAAGGATGTACTGGTCGAGAGGGAAGTGGCGCAGAAGATCTTCAAGATGACCATCAAACAGGACGGACGACTGCGTTGCGGGCGTGTCCACGCAGCTTGGGGAGCAAGGCTCCACCGGAGTGCTTACGTCGGATTGCTGGTGGCTGTCCATTGCTAGTGTTGATCGTCAAGTTGAAGATCACGCCGAGTATTGATATGCGAGGGGGGGATTCTTGAAAAGGAAACGAGGGAGTCTGTTTGGATTTTGCTCAAACGAACGTGGATGAACTCGGACAGATCGAAGAAACGAAGGAAGAGTTTTATACTCAAGGGCAAAACAAGCACCACCTGGCAGCGGCCCGCTCTATCCAGCTGGGTCAGGCAAAGAGGGTATTGCTTAATCTACACGGGAAAACAACTATAGAAGCGATTGGATGATACCAGGATACCAGAGGGACCAGATCTCGCCAGCACAGGGGTACAAAAAGGAATAAACAAAAAAACAATTATA